ACAGAACTTCGGTTTGTAGGCTAGTTTTGTCCCTTTTGCCTTCAGAATTAGGCTTTGATGTCTTCATGAAAGTTGTAGCCCTTCGAGTATCCTTTCAAATGGCGCAAGAATAACTTCCTTTGGACATTCCTAGGCCGAGATATTGTCAAATTACCAAACAGTGGTCAGTTTTGGGCGAAATCTGCAAGTTTGGAACTTCAACTTCAAGGATGATTTTTACCACTGTGGCTTCCTTTTTAGGCTTTGATGTCTGAATATGCGTTGTAGCCCTTTGAGTCTTCTTTCCAATGGGACAAGAATTGCATAATATGGATAATTTTAGGTCGAGATATGGTCCAACGACTATGACGTCGACATGCAGGTCGGGAATTACAATTGCATGATCGCTTGCTTCTCTTTTACTTTGGTTTTCCCAAATGACCAAGACCATTGAAAGCACCACTCTTAGGTTCCTTTGGAAGTGTTTTGTCCTTCCTCTTAGCTTCTCCTCGGATCCCATGGACTCCCAATCCATCCAAAATGCTTCTTTTGACTCCAATGACCACCAAAGTGCATGAAACTACTCATTTTTGCTTCCAAAGCTTTTCAAACCAAACTCCTTACAAAATAACACAATTTAGTCCCAATCTCATGGAATTTGGAATGATCTATATGCAAAATAACTTAGAGAAAAGGGTGAAAAATATAGACAAATAAGCACTTATCAATTTGATCACTTGATCGTTACTACCCATGATGAGCTTATCGTGTATAAACAAATAGTGATATCATCGTCTATCGTACGCATTATGTAGACCCACTTGTCACTTTTATTTATACTAAACTCGTTGGTCATCATTGTATGATCAAACCTACGTATGTGCCAAGTACTAAGACAATTGTTTCGCACCATACAATGATCTCACCAATTACACGCTTTCTTTTCACAGCGTGGAACCACAAACCCTCAGGTCGTTCCATGTCTATTCAGAAAGCGATCCATCCATTTTGATGAACTTCCAAGTCTCGCTAAATGGCTATGGCAAGTATCATACTAATGGATTTCATTCTCATCACAAGAGAATATATCTTGAAGTAATTGTGGCACTCGCATTGCAATTAATCTACAATTACAAGCCCGGCCATTTTACTTCAATATAACCAACCTGTTTTATCTTCCGACACGTGATCCACAAGGATCCAAAGGTTTTACAACCCGGAGGAACAACAACCAGTTCCAAGTATGAATCTCTAAGATAGAATCTACTTCACTCTCGGTAGCCTCTCTCGTGTTGGTCCATCCGTATAAGTCACTACTTCTACATACGTTCTAGACTCGTTTTCTAACAACCATGTCAGAAAATCTGGTTCATTTTCTAGTGGACAAGTTAGAATACGCACATCACATTCTAACATGTACGTCAGAAAATCTGGACCAAAGGATTTTTCAATCCTAGCTCTCTTGCTACGTCTAGCTTTGAGCTCGGGTTCTCTTTCATACCCTCCAACCATAGCTACGTCGAAAGTTCATTTCAACGTGCTAGTTCCTAAATTGAACCTTCACAAAAGTACATCTTCAAAGAACGATGAATTTATTGATTCAATTAATCGTGTTCTTATGTACATCCAAACTATATGACTCGTGTACTAAGAACCAATACACACCTTTGGCAAGACACCCCCACATTTCAGGCATTAGTAGGAAAACTTCCTACGTACCCACAATTTGTAAGAATTTCATGCGGGTAACCCTATTTTAAAGGTACTTACTTGTCCAAAGTATTGTCTCACCCCACACACTTTGAGGTAGACTCGAACTTATCAACGTCTTGATATTTATGTTCGGCAACAACGTTCGATTGAGGTGAATATCGTGTCGTACGCTCGAGTACGATACCGATGCTTGCGCAGAAATCACCAATAGGTGTTTATTGTTCACCACATCGATCGCTCATAACCGTATTAATCCACGATTAATTTGGTTTTCTCCTTTATTCTTATAAAGAATAAACGTGTGCTACCCGTTAGCACACCTCGTAGGTGCGAACAAATCAGCACTTACGAATCCATTCGGTATTGATCGAAGCCAAAACCACGAATCAATGCTTCTGACATTGAAGTTTTATTTGGTGCTTAGCAAAGCACTACTCAGTTGTTATCAACATTTATCACCGTTTGGTTACCGAGGCACCAAATCTGTTTTGTGAATTTAAATGAACCAATCGGTTGCTTTATAATTCAACAACACAAAGAGTTGCTAATTATCTTAAGCACACTCCAGTATTATCCAACTTCATGAATAAGCAAAGTAAAGCTTGATCACAAATCTTCCTAGCTAAGTGCTAATCTCATAGCACTTTACAGTGCTAAATTTAATTAGCACTCCACAATGCTATTTTAAAGTTTGGATGTCCAGTGCTGTTAAGCACTACAATTAGCACTTCAACAATGCTAAATTCAATTAGCATTTTCCGTTAAGCTCAAGCTTAATTCTGACGTCCCCAACAATTTGTCTCAAATTATATTTCATACTAGTATAATTTGGTTTTTGATCAAGTTAATTCTAACACAACTAACGGTATCAAATCAACTAAATTTTCCGACTAGTTGAATCAAGCGTATATAATCGTACTACGAATATTATTTAAAGTATTCAACACTTGAGCTGTGACGCTCACGATTATATAGTTATCCCAATTTTGACAAATTGATTCTACTTTGAAATCTATATCGTTCAACATGAACTAGAACCGAAGTCCTTACGAGATTTCAAACATGTAACGCGCTTGTTACAATTCGTTCCGGCCGTTAAGCCATTTTAACATTATTCCAAATAATGCTACTTGATGCACTAGGCATCCATATTGAATCATTTCATATATACAATTAACATTATTTCATCAAATAATTCGTATGTACTATGATTCAATAACTCAATGGAACAATTCATTTTTATTCTATAATAAAAATGTATCACAAGGGTACTACAACATTTATTTAACAAATAAATAAATAGGAAAATTCATTGGAAACAAATTCCTTATTCCTATCTCATAGTAGTCCTTCAAACCCGTGTGCCTTGTTCCATTGTTCAACCATCCACTCACGAAGGGTGGTCCCATAGCGCACATCGGGGGTACCTGTTAAAGAAACCTTGGTTGTGACCTCACTCGTCCAACCATCCACATTCTTTAACCCAAGCGAAGTTGTCCGCAACCTTTTCACCAGGATGACGGTTCGCTTCATAGTGGCTGCTCACTTCTTCTTCATAATCATTTTCAGGCCTAAACTCTCGTTTGCCTTTCCTTTGATTATCGTTGAAGACATTCGTCACAATATAGAAGTCCTCAGACCATGTAGTGATCAAACCATCATTGGATCCTTCGTGGCTTTTAGCTGATCCACTAGGCATCACAATAGGTACCAACTGTGTGCCGTTAGCCACTAGCCTACCGGTTTGTGAACCAAGGTTCTCCGGAGCACTATCGTGTGATTTTGCAACTCCCATGAAAATATCATTTCCAACGTTGCTGCCGTCAACCGACATCTCGGAATGTGCAACATCGTTGCAGTTCTGACCATTTGAATGTGCACCACGAGCAACATTCACGGTTCCAATACTCTTGGAATCCATCGACTTGTTCATTATCAAAAAATAAGGTTTTAAGATTGTTGGAAATAATGAACCAAAGTCGATTTAATATCGCAAAATAATATTTATATTTACACACAAAATTATATAAAATATTATTTGATATATATCTAAAATATATATATATATATACACACAAATATATATAAATCAGACCCCCACGGTTATATACATCTATATCTACGAAAAAGATATATGTATATCAACCAAAATGGAATTATAATCATCGGATTATAATTCCAACCAAAAGAAAACAAAGTGTAGTACAAGGATTTTAGCTTAGAAGCATAATCCCAAAACCCAGAGAAGAAAGAAGAGTGGCGCGGCTTCTGTTTGGTGTAGGGTTTTAGCACGAGTCAGGCGAAGTGCCCATTTTCCTTAAAACCTTATTTGCGACCTCCCAAAAGTTCTAGGAGCGTTGTGGCCTAGGCTTCCCAAGATAAAACATGCTACGATTCGACGTTTGAGCACCCAAACGAACGAACCCGGCGAACTAGAGCAAAGCCTTGAACACGCAAAGAAAGGAGTAGGAGCAGAGTTTTGAGAAGAAAACAATTCATGTGTTGTGTGTTCTTGTTGTGCTTATAAGTCTGCTAACAATAGCATTAAATCTGATTTAAAAATCAAATCAAACAGTCAAGTGAATAGTAGAGACACGTACCATTTCGAAAGACCAGAACACTTATGCTACAGTTTGGGATTTGATTTGCACCCCCCTACGCATGAGAGAGAGCCTCTATGCTATACAATTCAATAAGCTTTAAAAGTGCCCTTGTATAAATAGTGGGGTAAATCCTCTTCCCAAACCAATGTGGGATAAAATCTTCACTTTTTCCCTTCATTTTTTCAACTCAAATGGGTCTACTTTGAGAATCAATATCTCATTCACCAATTATCCGTTTTGAGCGTACAATATATCAATCTCTTCGTCTCACTATGAAGAACTCGAATCCACTTTAACCCGACCCAAATCAGAAGTGGACCCCACTGATAATTGTACCACAAAATAGCTACTTAAAATGCCATTTTAATGCTATTTTTTCAACACTGTCAACTAGTTAACTTTTAGCCTTAATGGTTGTTGTATTGTTCATTAGAATACTTTTAACTACTGAACATAGCTTGTTGGTGTTGGTCATTGATTATGATTGTATGTAAAACAAATGAATTCTGCATTGTTCACCAGCCATAATGTAAAACAACATATATTAGATCTCTTAATGCATATTGATAGTATGTCTCACATTTTACTTATAATTTATGAATCTATTACTTTTGCTTAACATATGGAGTAATGTATCCCAATCTCATTAACAGTCACTTTTATTTATAATTTATGAATCTATGACTAGTGAGCCCTCTGACCGAGTCGAAGATTGAGTTTCAAAGTGGTTTGATGTATCTGTGCTGTTAAACTCTATGTTGTCGTATTTGATTTGTAATTGGTTGATTTGTAATGTAGGTGTAAACGCGAAAAACTTGAATTGTATATATTCAAAATTCAAAGTATCGGTTACAAGTAGTATCAAGTATATATCAAACGGGAAGGGGTACAATCTCTGTATATGAGAAGTCCTCTGATTCTCTACTACAAGTATGCCTATTGGAAGTGTCCAAATTTGGAATATGCCAAATTGGAAGTGTGCCGAGTTCAGAGTATGCTGAACTTGAAGTAGTTCTTTGTTGGAAGTATGCCGAATCCGGAATATGCCGAATTGGAAGTGTGCCGAGTTCAAAGTATGTTGAACTGGAAGTATGCCAAGTTCGGGAGTATGCCGAACTGGAAGTATGCTGAATTCGGGAGTGTGCCGAATTGGAGTAATTCCTTGCTGAAGGGCCTCCGGAGTTAGTAGCTTGTTCCTCAGTGAAGGGCTAATATGCAGCTTGATCTTCAAAGAAGGGCTTCCGGTGTTCAAGTGGCGTGTTCCTCAGCGCAGTATACGCAGTACAACTGCGGGCGTGTTCCAGACGATATCCTGGAGAGATTTCGGCAGAGCTTCGATATGTAGATTTCCAGAGCTCCCATTCTTGAAAATGAAACCACTATTTATAGTGGTGAGTGTGAGGGAAAATCTCCAACCAACTCTTAATTCCTTATTTAATTTAATTTCTTTAATTAAATTAAGGAATGTATCGGGACACCATTGCGTCCAAGTTCATGATTTCATTAAATTTCCAAATAATATCAAATATTCAAATTTCCCAAAATTATATAATCCACATATAATTTTGATGGGCCAAGACCAAGTCAAACCCACTAACTAGGCAACCCAATTCATCCAAGCAGCCTGGTCCAACTTGATTAAATCGTTCACCATTTCGGGGCCGAACAATCCAACATCCAATTACACTTAATTAAGTAATTAAACCAATTAATTATTCAATGAGTCATTTAATTAACCCAATTAAATAAATATTAGTCCAACTAGCTTAATTAAAGTAATTAATTTAATAATCAAATATTCACCACGGTCCAACACCATTATTTAAATTTTCAATGCTTACAGTAGGTACCCGATGAAGGAAGCAAGCACCAATCTTTCACACTGGAAAGCAAAATTCATCCTCTAGTCATCATGTTAATGGATAATCTTCTACATGATATGCAATCAGATTACTATAATATTTTTTATTAGAGGCAACTGTAAGTAGTTTCATGATTTATTTAATTGGTAGCTGGATTTCTAATGGTGTGTCTAAACTGAGTATACTAAAATTTTGTATGGACATGCACCAAATTTTGTATTGGCATAATGAAAGTTGTCTCATGTCCAAATGAAGAAAAAGTAGATTTAATCTTTGTGACTCTATTTCTTTTTTTGGCTCTCTCTTTTCCTTCTTTTACTTAAAATGCCTCAGCTCCTGTTAGCTCTATGAACTTGCTAGACTGCCAAACCAATTATAACCACCTAGGTTTGTTTTACTAGTTGTGTTGTCGTTCATGTTATGTGTTCCATGAGTATTTTCTTTTATATATTCTGTATTATTCCTACTTGTGCATGTTAGGAATATAGCAGAATAATGCGGAAGCGAAGAATCGAAAATTGAGAATTATAGAAGTTAAATAATAGGAAAATAATATAAATGACAGAATAAGGCAATAGCTAATTTGGGAGATTATAAAATATATATATATTACTCTCTAAATAGAGAATACAAAGTAAATATATATATATATATATATATATATATATATATATATATATGTTTACGTGGGGAAATAAAAGAAAGAAAAGAAAGCAAGATGAATTGCTTAGGAATGAATTACAATTAATGAATTGATGCATTGAAAACAATGAACCTAAACCTATTTATAATTACAAAGAAGAGAAATGTACGGCAATTACAAGAATGAGAGCCAAAGTAGGAAATCATGTAGGAATGTTAGCACGCAAACGACGCCAACATTAGAGACATGGTCTATGTTTAATTTGAGCCACATATTATGCCTAACAATCTCCACCTTGGATCAAATTGTTGTAGAATTAACAACTGGAACAACCGACTAAACTCAAGCACTACTTGAACTTAACAACAGGAAGAACTTCATAATAGCAGGATGGATCACCATCAACTTCCTATGTGACTGAAAGAGCATAAGCAACCATATTGGTTTCATCGTCACTAGCGTACCTAGCAGGTTTTTTAATTGTCCTCCTAGGACGATCCATAGCAATGGAATACTCTCGTTGTGGCTCGACGAGAGGTGCGGTGCTAGTAGATGCATCATCTTTAGTATTACCATCAGCAGTAGTAACACTATCAATAGGCCTGAACTCAAACTCCACCTTCTCACCAGTACTTTGCGTCTCATCTGTACTGGGAACTTTGCCAGAAGAACGTAGTGCATTTTCATCAAAAAGTGATATATCGACTTAGAATGATTTTCCGAGAATCAGGAGACCATAGACGATACCCTTTTGACTCAGAGGCATAACCAAGGAAAATGCATTTGACAGCTTTCGGGTTCAATTTACCCGTACTGGAATGAGCATAAGCAGGACATCCAAAAACTCTTAAGATAGAGTAGTCAACAGGATTACCTGACCAAACTTCCTCTGGAATTTTGAAATCAAGGGATGAATGTGGAGATCTATTTACCAAATAGCAAGCAGTAGAAACGGCCTCGGCCCAAAAATCACGCTGTTTCCATAACCCAGCATTAGAGAGTATACAACGAGCTCTTTCCAATAGAGTCCTGTTCAAACGTTCGGCAACACCATTTTGCTGGGGTTTACCAGGCAAGGTCTTGTGCCTGGCGATTCCATTTGCCGCACAGAAGTCATTGAAATCTGACTCACAGAACTCCAAGCCATTGTCTGTCCTGAGCTTCATGACTTTTTTACCTGTCTGAGTCTCAACAAGTATTTTCTACGTCTTGAAAATAGAAAATGCCTGATTTTTTATGTTTCAGGAAATAGACCCAGACTTTACGAGAAAAGTCATCAATAATAGACATAAAATATCTACAGCCTCCAATAGATTGGAATTTAGTCGGTCCCCATAAATCAGAATGTATATATTCCAATACATCTTTGGTACGGTGTGTAGCAGTAGAGAAACTAACCCTCTTTTGTTTCCCAAAATTACAATGCTCACAAAATTGTAATTTACCCGTACCTGAACCACCAAGGAGGTCTTTCTTGCTCAGGAAATGCATGCCTTTCTCACTCATATGCCCCAGACGCATATGCCATAATTGAGTGAGATCCGCATCAGACATCGATGAGGATACCGCTACTGAACCTGTCACAGTACTGCCATGCAAGACATACAAGCTTCCAGAACGAGAAGCTTTCATGAGAATAAGAGAGCCTTTTATGACCTTCAAAACTCCACCTTCAGCTGTGTACTTGCACCCCAGAGATTTCAAGGTGCCAATGATATCAGATTGCGTTTCAAATCAGGAATATACGAACATTGGTAAGAGTCCTGACAACGTTATCATGAGTTTTTAATCTGAACACTTCCAATTCCACTAACCTTGCAAGATGAATTGCTTAGGAATGAATTACAATTAATGAATTGATGCCATTGAAAACAATGAACCTAAACCTATTTATAATTACAAAGAAGAGAAATGTACGGGCAATTACAAGAATGAGAGCCAAAGTAGGAAATCATGTAGGAATGTTAGCACCGCAAACGACGCAACATTAGAGACATGGTCTATGTTTAATTTGAGCCACATATTATGCCTAACAGTGCATACACTATATTTTAATCTTACGTCCAATTGGGTTCCTTTCAGGTTGAAAGATGGAATGAACAAAAGGGACTGGGACTTTCCGAAGGCCACTTTAACATGATGTGGATTTAGACAATGTTGATCATCTTCTTATGAAATTTGGCCTTTTGGTTTCCTTTTGAATGGTCAATGGATTAATAAGTATTCTTGTACTATCTTCTTAGAAACCTCTCTCTCATTGTTGCAGATGAATCAATGGATCCTGAAACAATTTAATGTTTGTTGCTCTTTTTTCTCAGAACTATTAGCTTCTAGTATATAAAGATTCTTTGTTTTTTGTTACAATTATTTGACAAATATAAGTTACAATTGAATTTTGTTCCAATTAATGTGTACATAGAGTTTATTTATGATTGCAATATAAAGATTTAAATAATAATTATAAAAATATAATAATGCAATTATAAAACATTTAGCGACACTTAATTATGAAAACAAAACATTATTTAGCACCACTTAATAACCGCCACTAAAATTTTTAAAAATAAATAAAGAAAAACATTTAGCGACACTTAATGGCTGCCACTAAAATTTAAAGAAAAAATAAATAGATTTATTTAGCGGCGGTTACAAAACCGCCTCTAAAAGCAAAAGAAAAGTACCTCATTTTAGTGGCAGTTTTGTAACCGCCGCTAAAAGAAAAAGAAAATTACCTCATTTTAGCGGTGGTTTCAAAATCGCCGCTAAAAGCAAAAGAAAAGTACCTCATTGTAACACTGGTTATGTAACCGCGGCTAAATGCATTCAAAACCACCGCGAAATAAGTTCATTAATTCCGCGATTGTAGAAAACCATCGCTAAATACTTCGCAACACACTATTTAGACACGGTTGAATAACTGCCGCTAAATACAATAGTGGCGGTTTGTAACCGCCGCTAAACGTTAAAAAAAAAAAAAACAGTCGCTAAATGCCTTATTTGGTGTAGTG